ATAGAGCATTGGCCTATGGACCAAAGGGTCCCAGGTTTGATTCCCAGTGTGGGGCGTGCAGGAGGCAGCTGATCAATGATTCTCTCTCATCATTGATGTTTTTATTTCTCTCCCTCTCCCTTCCTCTCTGAAATCAATAAAAATATATGTATTTTTAAAAATAATGTCCCAGTCAGGTCACCTTCCCATCTACTTTTGTCACATGACAGGGGAACTAGCTAAGGGATTGGAAATTAAACTGTTCCAAGTCCATTTGAAATGCACCAGTTAAAGAGGTTGTGCTTTGCCCTCCAGGCACCTCTCTGAGCTCACCTGCAGTGTTTGAGAGGGACAGAGGAGTTACCTGAGCACAGTCTCAACTCTAAATCTGGTTGCAGGTCCCTTCCCCTGATCTGGTGTCCAGCGGTAGTGCTTCTGCAGCCTGTGGTTCCAGCTGAGCGGGAGAGCATGCCTCACAGAGCCAACATCTGCTACTCTGCTTCCAGCTGAGCCCTCAGAAACAGAGCTTTGAGCTTAAGACACCAATCTCAATCCAGTAAGTGTACTTAAAAGCTCAGGGGCTTTGATCGTTGCTTGGCAGAAGCCCTAACTGCTAACTACCAGAAGCTTTGCCATTTCCTCTTTATCTGTCTTCTTTCATACGCCCCAGCTCTGCTGAGTAGCAGAGGTCTGCACAATGCCAGACCTTTCTCCCAGTGTTGGAACACGTCAGAGTGTGGGTGAAGGGTGGGGTGGGGATGAGAAGGGCTGGGGGAGGGAAGAGAAGGTTCTTTAAAGGAAGAAGCAGAACAAAAACAGAATTAAAATGCATGGTTATCTACAAAGAAAGGCCGACCTTACATATATGGCATATTTTGAAACTTTTTTCCGAACGATTCTGAAATGGAAAGAGTGCAGACTGGCTTCAATTTAACCATGGTACCATTAAAAACCCTACCTAACACGGCCCACTCTGAGTGGTACAGGAAACACAGTGATAACCTTTGCTGTTTTTATATTTGAACAACTCAAATTGTTGGTATGAGAGGAAAACAACATATATTTAAAAGCAAGTTGATGCTCTTCTCACAGCTAGCATAAATCTCAAGCCAGCAAGCCCATTTTATCTTGTTCATAGTAGCTTATTTCAGTGGCTATGAATACAATTTCATAATGTATATATACATATTTGCCTTCAGTGCAATTATAGGATGCTTTGATAATTTCTGTGATCTATTAAAAGTACAGTAAGAAAATTTGAAGACCCTGTATTTTTGCAGGCTCTTAATTTTATAATGGACAAAGCACTGATAACTGAAATTTCATTTAAAAACAAACCAACCTTCCCCTGTTGGTCAAATGTAATTGGTTTTAACTTCCATTTTAAAGCTTCTTTGAATCCTTTCCTGGTCCCACCCTTCTGGGGGGGAGGGGGGTAGGGAGGCAAAATGGCTATAAATATAAATGAAAGAGAGATTGGGAGAAACTAGATAATCAGGTAATTAAAAACTGACTTGGGGTTAGTTCTTCCTCCACCCCTCACCCCCCTGCAGTCATCAGCCCCTCACCCAGGCTGGCCAGGCACCCCAGCGGGACCCCCACCCTGATCCGGAACACCCTTCAGGGCAAACCAGCCAGCCCCTACCCATGCACCAGGCCTCTATCCTATATAATAAAAGGGTAATATGCAAACTGATCCTAACAGCAGAAGGACTGGGAATGACTGGTCACTATGACACACACTGACCACCAGGGGGCAGACACTCAATGCAGGAGCTGCCCCCTGGTGGTCAGTGCGCTCCCACAGGGAGCGCTCTGCTCAGTCACAAGCCAGGTTGATGGCTGCCAGTACAGCGGTGGTGGTGGGAGCCTCTCTTGCCTCCTCAGCAGCGCTAAGGATGTCTGACTGCAGCTTAGGCCTGCTCCCTGCTGGCAAGTGGACATCCCCCGATGGCTCCCGGGCTGCCAGAGGGATGTCTGATTGCCAGCTTAGGCCCAATCTCCCGGGGAGCGGGCCTAAGTCAGCAGGTGGTCATCCCCCGAGGGGTCCCAGACTGCAAGAGGGCACAGACTGGGCTGAGGGGACCCCCCCCCCCGCCAGTGCACAAATTTTAGTGCACCGGGCCTCTAGTTTAGACATAAAATGCAAACGTCTGCTTCAGATCTAAAACTGTGTGGGTTTTTGGTTAAATGTATAATCAAGCAACAAGGGTAAAGGAGTGATACCAATTCCCTCATTTTTATGGAGAAGACATTAATTAGCCATCTGGAAAGGGGTGAGGGAAGTCTAAGAAATGGACTTAGAAGAGCAGGGAAAGACTACAGAAGGTAAAATTGAGGCTCTAGCTTTTAGTGTCAGCAAACACACAAATGCATGCACATCTGGGAATGGAAGAGCTCCTTGATATAGAATTGAAAACAAAAGCATTTCTACTTCATGTAACAAGTTATGTTTATGCATGCTTATACTTTTATGACATGATTGGCTTGTACTATTATAGGAGTTTCTTTGCCAGGGACTCAATCAAGGAACCTAAATTCTACACTTAGAGAAAATAAGTATACAACACTAAAAGAAAGTAGAAAGCTTCTTCCCATTTTCCTAGGCACACGGCCAGTCTTCAAGAAAATTTTAGGCCTGGCCAACGGGGTTCAGTGGTTGAGCGTCGATCTACGAACCAGAGGTCACAGTTTGATTCCCAGTCAGGGCCCAAACCTAGGTTGTGGGTTTCATCTGCAGTCAGGGAATGTATGGGAGGCGACCGATCAATGGTCTCTCTCTCTCTCACTTCCTCTCTCTAAAAAACCTATTAAAAATAAAATTTATTTAAAAATAAATTAAAAATCAAACTGCCTTATGACCCAGTGATTCCACTTCTGGGTATCTATCTGAAAGAGCTCAAAACACTAATTCGAAAGAACATATGCACCCTTATGTACATTGCAGCACTACTTACAATAGACAAGATTTGAAAGCAGCCCAAGTGCCCATCAGTAGATGAGTGGATAAAAAAACTGGGGTAGGTTTACACAATGGAATACTACTTGGCTGTTAAAAAGAAAAGGAACGCTTACCTTTTGCAACAGCATGGATGGACCTGGAGAGTATTATGTCAAGTGAAAGCCAGTTAGAGAAAGACAAGTACAGTGGAACCTCCGTTCTTGAACTTAAATTCGTTCTGGAAGGCTGTTGGAGAAGCCATTTGTTCGAAAACCCCATTTTCCCCCCATGAGAAATAATGTAAATTGAATTAATCTGTCCCAGACCCCAAATGATTCAGCTTTTTGTTTCTTAATATATTTTTATTGATTTCAGAGAGGAAGAGGGAGAGATAGAAACATCAATGAGAATCACTGAGTGGCTGCCTCCTGCAAACCCCCTACTGGAGATCGAGTCTGCAACCAGGGCATGTGGCCTGACCAGGAATTGAACCATGACCTCCTGGTTCATAGGTCAGTGCTCAACTACCGAACCACACCAGTTGGGCATGATTCCCCGTTTTAACCTTTCTTACATACAGTACCCATCGAATGTACTGTTTAGTCTATAAACACTTTTTTTAAAAAGTTTATTGAACCACCCCCTACTAACCTTCAACGAATCACTTTTAGCATTCAGTCGAGGGATGTCTTTCAGGTCAGCCTGATTTTTTTTTAATCCTCACTTGAGGACATTTTTCCATTGACTTTTAGAGAGAGTGGAAGAGAGAGGGAAAGACAGAAGTATCGATGTGAGAGAAACACATTGACTGACTGCCTCCTGCATCCTGACCAGTGACCGGGCCTAGGAGTCTGCAACTGAGGTACCTGCCCCTGGACTGGAATCCAACCTGGGGCTTTTAGTTTGCAGGCTGATGCCCTATCCACTGAGCCAAACCAGCGAGGGCCTAACTGCTTTTCATTTATCCAAATCAACAACACTTTTTCTACGGTTGTCTATGATCACTGTTTCTTTCACACCCTTAGCAACATTAGCACTCTTGATGGCCTCTTTGTTTTAAAATTGTGATAATCACTGATTTTGCCAGCAACAAAAGCATTAGCTCCTTAGTCTGTGGCCTGAGAGATGCTTTTTGTCATGCTATCAGCTTGAAAGGGTTGTCTGTTCAAACCAAAGTAACTGGAACATTTTTTCTGTGAACAACTTGAGAACAGAACTGTTTGAGATGGGAGACTTTGAGAAATGGGGTTTGATTTATATGGAGCAGGCTAGGTGAATCTAATGAACAAAATAAACTAACAAAATAGAAATAGACTCAGATACAGAGAACAAACTAACATCTGTCAGTGGGGAAGGGGTTGGCAGGCTAGGTGAAAAAGGTGAAGGGATTAAGCAAAAACAAACAAAAAACCTCATGGACACATTACCATAGCTTATGGGGGAGGGGCGGGAGGTAGGAGTGGGGAAAGGGGAGATAAACGGGTGACGGGAAGGAGACTTGGCTTGAAGTGGTCAACACACATACAATATACAGATGATGTCTTATAGAATTGTACGCCTAAAACCTGTCATTTTACCAACCAATGCCACCACAATAAATTCAATAAAAATATTAAAAATAAAAATTCAAAACAAGCTGCACTCAAGGCCTTTGTGTAACCTTTAGCTGCCTAGTACCCTAAAGTGCCATGTCATCAATCCTACCCTTTCTCCTTTCTCAGTCTACCCCTATCAAAACTTCCTTTCACCCCAGCTGGCGTAGCCCAGTGGTAGGCTTTACTGTGTGTGTATACAGTTGTTTTGGGCCATTTCTGCTTTTCATGGCTTCCTCCTTTTATCTGAAGCTTAACTCAGAAATTCTCTGAGATACCATGGCTGTTCTGCAGACCCCTCCTCACTCACCCACCCAATGACATAGGGGACTTTGCAGGGCAGTGGACAGATGGAAATATACCAGAGAAAAATACGGCACACCAGGGTGTAATATCTCAAGTAAGATTATTACTGTTCATAATATATATTTTAGGTAAATTATTATAACAATATACAAAATCTTGTAAGAAAGAAACATAGAAATAGCTGGTGCTTGATAATTCTCTTTATGTCAATAGACTACAATGAAACAAGTTTTTTGCCAAGTTCCATCAATTTTTTTTAATTCTCTTTGACTTTCTCTCCTGGTCTTCTGTTATCCTTTCTACAGGTCTCTTCTTCAGCCCCTTCATTTTTCTGGTTTGTAGTTTGCTTAGGTCTTGCTTCTGCATATGAATCCTTCCATAAGTTGTACCAAAAGTATCATGGGAGATATTTTTCTTTTTCTTTGGCTATGAAATAGAATATATATATTTAACTGTCTCTAGTATCATGAACTGGCAAAAAAAAAATCTAATGTACAACTACCTTACTAATTTCCACTATAGTCTATAGTCCTTATCAACCTTCTCAAATTTAAGTGCAGATCTTGTTCAAATGCAGATTATGATTCAGTAAGTCTAGGGCAGGACATGAGATTCAGTATTTCTAACAATTCCCAAGTAAATTGTCAGACCCCACATTTCGATATGCAACATAATAGACTACACTAACCTTTAACGTGCATTGAGAGAATTTCCTGTGTTTAGCTTAAAGAATTGTGACTATCATCTTTATTGGCATTCCAGAGATGTCATCTCTCCTTGTCTTTTAAAACCATTCAAAAGCCAGAACACTTTTTATGCAAGCACATCCTGTGCTCTAATTCCCCAGTCTTCACAATACCCAAAACAATTTTCCTTTTTGCTGAAAACTGGCAGCAATCTTGGCTACCAGAAAGTTCTCAGCCACACTCGATCCTGGTTTCTGCAACTCTCATTATCCTTTGTGGTTGGCTTATTTGCTTCTTCCCCTTTTCTTGATTCTGGGAGTCTGATTTCATCTGTTATACTGATCTCTTTAGGTATGCCCTTTAATGTATGCCACAAATCCTTTTTGGAAAGAGTGGAATATACAATCCACCAGTCACGTACCTTGAGGGCTTTTGGCATTTTCATGGATAACTTATAAAGGTCATCTGAGGCCAAATGTGTCCTCCTCAGCACCAGGTCCAATGAGGGTCCCATCTCTTCCAATTCAATCCGTGGTGTTCTGCAACCAGATTTCTTCAACAGCAGCCTTTGTAAATAGGAAAAAGGAAATGTTGCTCTGACTTTGATAAACATCCCATCCCCACCCACTATCTTTGTCCAAGAGAATTACAGTTCCATAAATGATGAGAGAAGAAAAAAGGGGAAAGCATAGTAAGGAATACCCAAGAGAGCAGCAAACACCAGGAAGTGCGTGTGCAAAAACTCATCCCCAGCCCTTTGGGCCTTAAGTGCGTCACATGCAGATAGCCTACCAATACGGACCACCCATCGGGGGTGCATTTACCAGCCACAGTAGGAGTCACAGTGATAAATACGCTGTATAAGACACAGCAATTTACAACTAACTGAACAAGGCCAAAAAAAAGGAAGAAAAATACCTCACCAGCCTAGGATTTGTAAAGAGCTGAAATGTGGTTGCTTTTTTAAAGATATGCTGACATTAAAAGATAAATAGATATTAAAAAGATAAATGAATATAAGTAAATGAATATTAGTATGGGACTTGAAGGGAGCAAACACAGGGAAAAAGAGCCTAAAAGAGAGTCCGTAGGCAACCATTCTCTTTATATGGTTCCAGGAGGAGAGCGAGAATGCCTGTCTCAGGCTCACTAAGGGGAAAATAGTTTTAGAAGCTAAAGTTGGCTGGTTTAGGGCATCTTCCCAAAGAGCTAATGCCAAGTATACAGGAGCAGCGATCATTTAACTGTCATATCACACATACTTCTGCATTTGCATCCACATTTTCAGTACCTCCAAATAAACCATCTTTATAATGCTGAACTCATATCAAGATTAGTACCTTGATGAACACATCAAGAAAAAACGTGTTGACTACTTAAGAAATCAGGGAAATTACATAGAAAATTTCAATAAAGAAGTTTTCTACTACTGCCCTAGTGTGGCTCAGGTGCCGCTCAGGTGGTTGGGCACCATCACATGTACCGAATGGTTGTCAGTTCCATTCCTAATCAGGGCACATGCCTGCATTGTGGGCTCCATCCCTAGCTGGAGGTATGCAGGAGGCAGCTGATCAATGTTTCTCTCTCTTTCTAAAAAATACAAAATCAATTAAAAAATTTTTTTAAATTTTTCTATTGCTTAAGATGCTCATTTTCAAATAAATGGAAAACCTGTTGATCTAGGACAACTCATGGCATGTCTGATGGATTCAGGTTGCCTGAGTAACACTAGGTGTGTCAAGACTGCTTTAAAGCACCTTTTTATTTATAGAAAGTGTGCTCCTAACAAATAATTTTTAAATGGTATTATAATTGATTATCTTCTCTCTATATAAAAGGCTAATATGCAAAGTCTCCCCTCAGAAGTTCGACTTGGAGTTTGATCTCTCACTATGATGTGCGCTGATCACCAGGGGGTGGCATGGATCAGGTTGCCTGAGTAACACTAGGTGTGTCAAGACTACTTTAAAGCACCTTTTTATTTATAGAAGTGTGCTCCTAACAAATAATTTTTAAATGGTATTATAATTGATTATCTTCTCTCTATATAAAAGGCTAATATGCAAAGTCTCCCCTCAGAAGTTCGACTTGGAGTTTGATCTCTCACTATGATGTGCGCTGATCACCAGGGGGTGGCATGGAACAAAGGAAGGCCCCGGGCGACAGCCAGAAGGCCCTGATCAGCCCTGATGGTTGGCCAGGCCTAGGGACCCTATCCATGTATGAATTTCATGCACTGGGCCTCTAGTTTCCAACTAACTACAAATGTTGCTATTTTTCAAAGAAGTTATAGTGCCATCCTGTCTATGTAAATGACCTCATCTTAATCACTTTACCAAGCATGTGTACTGCTCAGAAACAGAAGGAAATGCTCTCTAGTTTTCAGTTCCCTGCCATGGTTTCTGGTGATAGGCCTATTAAGCTTTTGATAGTGATATCTAGAATCTAAAATTATCACTTGTTAATCCTTTAACAACCTCTTCACTCTTTCTCAAAGGCAATATATTAATAGAGAATTTATAAATGATTTTTGTGATTACGCTAAGAAAAACAAAGACTACTGTCTGACCAGTGTGGCTCAGTGGTTGAGCTTTGACTTATGAAGCAGGAGGTCACAGTTCTATTTCCTAACATGCCCAGGTTGCAGGCTCAATCCCTAGTGTGGGGCGTGTGGGAGACAGCCAATCAATGATTCTCATCATTGATATGTCTATCCTCTCTCCCTCTACCCCCTCTGAAATCAATAAAAATATATTTTTGAAAAAAGAAAATAAAAAGACTACTGTTAACTCATTAAAAACAAACAAAATAGCCCTGACTGATTTGGCTCAGTGGATAGAGCGTTGGCCTGTGGACTGAAGGGTCCCAGGTTCGATTCCAGTCAAGGGCATGTACCATGGTTGCAGGCACATTCCCAGTAGGGGGTGTGCAGGAGGCAGCTGATTGATGTTTCTCTCTCATCAATATTTCTAACTCTCTATCCCTCTCCCTTCCTCTCTGTAAAAAAATCAATAAAATTAAAAAAAAACACAAACAAAATAAACCATTTCCTTTGCCTTCATCCCATTATACACACTGCAGTTTTTAAAAGATAGCATAGTCCCCCCCGCTCCAATCCGTGGTTTCATTGTCCATGGTTTCAGTTACCCATGGTCAACAGTGGCCTGAAAATATTAAACAGAAAATTCCAGAAATAAACTATTCATAAGTTTTAAACCATGCATTGTTCTGAGTAGCCTCGTGAAAACTCCCACCGTCCTGGTCTGTCAGGGCCCAGGATGTGAATCAACCCTTTGCCCAGCATCTCTATGCTGTACAAGCTTCCTGACCGTCACGTAGTAGCCACCTCAGTATCAGATCAGCTGTCCAGGTATTGCAATGCTTGTGTTCATGTTACCCTTATTTTACTTAATAATGGCCCAAAGTGCAAGAGTAATGATACTGACAACTCAGATATGCCAAAGAGAAGCGTTAAGTGCTTCCTTTAGGTGAAAAGATGAAAGTTCTCCATTTACTAAGAGAAGGAAAAAGTCCTACACTGAGGTTGTTAAGATCTATGGTAAGAATGAATCTTCTATCCATGAAATTATGAAGGAAAAGGAAATCTGTGGTAGTTTTGCTGTCTTACCTCAAACTGTAAAAGATGTGCATGATAAGTTAAGATGGAAAGAGACATTAAATTCATGGGTGGAAGACATGAACAGAACACGTGTTCTGATTGACAGCAATGTGTCGCACCAGAAAGCATAGTGCCTATATGAAGACTTAAGCAAGGGATCCCCTAAAAGAAGTACACCAAGCCATTTACTGCAAGTAAGGGATGGTTACAGATTCAGGAATAGATTTGGACTGAAAATATAAAAATTACTGGAGAGCCACATCTGTTGATGAAGAAACTAACAAGTTGAAGAAGTTGATTAGGGTTCAGTACTATCCTCGGTTTTAGGCACCTACTTGGAGGGTCTTGGAACATATGACCCATGGATAAGGGGAGACTACTGTACACATTTCAATTCCAGGCTTTCCTATCTCCAACCAAATACCTATTGCCTAGAACTTTTCATCATATGCCTAACCTCAGATCCTAACCTCAAGTTTTGTTTTGTTTTCCCTATAAGCTCTAAATCAAAAGTGACATTCAGTTTTGCAAGACCATATGGTATAAGATACAGGGACACAAAGACAAACAGAATTCAGTTCCTTCCCTCTCAAATGGGCTCCGGCTATTAGATATGATAATTGGTCATTTCCATATACTTTTAAATATTATTTGCATCCTTCTTGAGAAAGACTGGCATTACCACTCTTGTTCCAATTATAATTCCTTATTGTTCTCCCTTGCATGTCCCTCTTCTGCTGAGTTTCTGTTCTCATCACTTAAACCACTTGCCTAGTAAGTTATGTCTGCTTGTAAAGGTATGCTAACACTTCCTATTTTGCTTATTTATCCCCGTAAAACATAACCAATGCCATTGCAAAGACACGTGTGGACGTTATTAAAGATTTTGTTTCATATGAATGGCTCTGGACCTATATTGAATAAAGTTCTCCAAGGAATACAAACTGTCATTTATACATAAGGAAGTAATTATTACAGGGTATACAGGAAGAGGTCAGTAACACTGACCGATTCCCCGAGTGGGTCTAAAATCAGTAAGAAAGGAGAGAGGGCAGGATGTAGTGCAGCCTATACAAATGTCCGAGGAGCCACACTAAGTCACTGCTGTCATTTAGACCCAACTGAACAAGGCAAGAAAACCCAACTCTAAGTCTGTCACATTCCCACCTCTATCTGCACCCTCTCTCCCTCTTATAAAATATCTCAGAATTACCTAAATGGTATTGCTACACTTTGCAAAAGAAAAAGAGACCTTGAGAAGAGACCTGCTCATATCATGTAGCTGAGTTCCAGCCCAGAGAGACAGGTCAGAGGTGTGCTCATTCCCGGGAACACCTCTTTCTTCCCAATCCAAGCGTGGCACAGCCCCTGGAGGCTAAACTAATCCACATGTTCAGTAATTTTCCCAATAGCAGTTAGCTGTCAATCACCCTGTCCATTTTCCATTTCAAATCAATAGCTAATAGGCCTTAGAGGGCATATATGAAATACCTGGAATTAAAATGTTACACCAAGGTCTCTGATTTTAAAAATTCAAACTTTTGTTTTGTTTTGTTAATCCTCAACCAAAGATATTTCTTCTATGATATTTACAGAAAGTGGAATGGAGGGAGGGGGGAGAAGGGGAGAGAAACATCAATGTGAGAGAGACACATCATTTGGTTGCCTCCCGCATGCACCTCCCTCCCCCCTTCTGTCCACAGGTGAAGAGTCTAACCATGGAGCCACACCAGAAAGTGCAAAAATAAATTCAAACTTTTTTTTCCCATTACAGGACTGCCATGCTAACCTAATGGTGACTCCACAAATTATATATATATTTTTAATATATTTTTATTCATTTCTGAGAGGAAGGGAGAGAGAGACAGAAACAACGATGGGAGAGAAACTGATTGGCTGCCTCCTGCACGCCCCCTACTGGGGATCAAGCCTGCAACTTGGGCATGTGCCCTTGACCAGAATCGAACCTGGGACCCTTCAGTGCGCAGGCCGACACTCCATCCACTGAGCCAAACCAGCTAGGGCCACAAATTATATTCTTCTTAAAATAAACAGATAGGTGAATGTGCACAGTTATACTGCTTATTTATCCTCATTCAGAAGTCTGATTTGCTAGTTTTCCATTTCCTAAATTTTCTCTGTGCTTCTTTCTTTTCACTAAATGCGAGTTCTGATACTTTCTTTGAAATTGTTCACTATGAGAGTTTTTCAGTTATTATTATTATTCATTTCATTTGTATCCTCCTAGTCTCATTTAACACAAGTTTTCAAAAAAAATTTTATGTCAGTGATTATTCATCTTTTACTGTATTTCTTGTTCTCTAAATAGGGGACACCAACTTTATAATAAAATATACTCTTGAAAGCCCCAAAATCAAGTTGGGAAATTTAAATAACAGATTTAAGGGGCTTTCAAGTTTAACAAGCCAAAAATGATTATAAAATCCCTAATTAACTATACTAATAGAGGAATATGCAAATTGTCTGGGATGCAGTCACAGTAACGAG